GTAACTATGGGGAGGAAGTGGGAGGGGAGCTGTTGCATTGTAAATTTTGGTCAATGACATAAGACAAAGTATATGTGAACTGCTGTATGAAAAGTGAATTTACTCTGTAAATCTTCACCCAAATCAAAATAAAATTAAAAAAAAAAAACCCTACATAGCACAGTTCTAGTCTGACACACAAAGTCATCATCCTGAGTGAGAATCGACTCAATTGCGCCCGGTTTTTTTAAGTCAGATCTAAATCTTTAAGTTAAATTACAAGTAACACCCATAGATTCAAAGTCTTAAATAAAACTTTCATTAAGCCCAAGTGAAAACATCATTTGGCTTTGTGTTTAGTAAACAAGTTTAAGTGACTTTTTTGCTCAAGGGGGCAAAACTGTCCACATGGACAACAAATTTAGAATAGGTAAACTAAAGGTCATTGTCTTCTCAGTCCTCTGGGATGAAACCACTTTAACACATGCCTGCATACACCTCACAAAAAAATTGAAAGTTTACTTGATATCTAACACATCAGTAGATTGCTCCAGGGAGAAAGAAAAGCATCTCTAAAAAAAAGAAGAAAGAAAAAAATAACAGGTGGCAGACTTAAACCATGATTCATTTTGTGTGGAGCAAGGAAAATGACTAAATTAGTCAGAACAAATGAGGCAGAATAGATTGATGGATTTGAATCCTGGCTCTGAAGCTTAGTAGATATAAACATGTTGCTGTATTAAAAAATTAGCATAGCATGCTTACTAAAATACCTTGTGGCAGGAGGGTGTAGTTAGCAAAAAAATATACAGTAATTTTGAACCCCAGATTGCCCAGCAGTCAAATCTGATTATTTACATGAGTACTGAAAGGGTTAAATGAGATAATCCGTGGAAAACAGTTACTATAGTTCCTGGTACATGGCAAGAGCCCATGTTATCTCAATGAAGATATAGAATCAGAAACTTCCTTATTGACTCAGGAACGTTTAAATGTCAGATTCCCCTACAGACTACAGAATCAGAAAGACATCACCAAATTCTAATGTAGTAGCCCAACAGCCAAAAAATTAAAGTGTGTATGAACATAGTGGCCTCTGCTCAAAAACCATTTATACTTAACTTTATTTTTGAGACATATTTCCCATCCCCATTGCAGAATGTTGAAGACAAAGGACCAGGCCCATCAAACACTGATAAAAATTATGGTAAATCATCAGAAGAAATCAGAACTATACAGATTTCTAGGTTATAAGAAGATACTTTAGGTCATTTACTTTATTTGCTAACCTATAAGCAGAAATATATCTGAACCATGCACAAAAGAATATCAATTTTATATGAAAAACTTTTCAGAGAAAGAGATTCTCTACTTTTTATCAGCAAAGCAGAACAATGCATGCCATCCCTATAGGCAAATGGTTATTTGTCACTATCCTAAATGCCTCAGCCTGCTGTTTCATCTTCTTTGTCTCCTAGTCTTACTGAAAATGAACAACAATTGATATCTTTTATAATATTCACTGTTATATTTCAAAACTAGTGTCTTCTCTTAATGACCTCTTAACAAGGTTAAGTTGTTAACCTAGTTAAGAGAACATTAAGAGAAGATATTACTCTTTTTATTTTTTTTAATTGTGATTTGGGTGAAAATTTACAGAGCAAATTCATTTTCCATACAGCAGTTCACATACACTTTGTCTCATGACATTGACTACAATTTACTACACTGCAACAGCTCCCCTCCCACTTCCTCCCAATAGTTACCGCTTCCTTGTGTCCATCCCTCCATGCACTCCTGCCCCCTGAGCTGTCCTAGTGCATACACAGCCCTTCCATTCTCCCATGATTGTTCTCTCCGAGGAGTACATCTACCTCAGGTAAATGTTCAGCTCATATGCCTTTCTTCTGTTGGGCTGGAAGGCACAGGTGTGGGTTCAATTCCAGACCTGAAAGGCAGCTAGGGGCCATAGTCTCAGTGGTTCCACCAGGCTCTATCAGACCAGCAAACCTTGTCCCCCCCTTTTTTTTCTCCAAATGATTTTGAGTTTTGTTCCACATTGTTCTCCCTCTCTATCCAGGATCTCCTACATAGATCCCCCTCTAAGTGGTTGACAGTGGTAGCCAGGCACCATCTAGTTCTTCTGGTCTCGTAGTCATATAGGCTGAGGATTGCATGGTGTATCAATCGCTAGGACTAATTGTTTCCATGAATTAGGAGAAGATATGACTCTTAAGTAGTGCCTTTTAAATGTGAAATGTACCAAAAAGTATTCCACACAGTAGAGGACATATCTAAGCAAAATACTGTTTAAAGCATTCATTTTAGTGATCTGTATTTACCATTAGCTCCATAGATAAAGTAAGGCAATTTCAAAAGTATTTAAAACATGGCACTTCTAAAATGTGGGTATAAGCAGTATTTCATGAGTTAATTCCATTAATTATCAACAGCTATCTGTTTCCTGATCTAAAATTCCTCAAAATATAGTATTTTTTCTTTCACTAATAAAAGTTTTTCTCTTTACAGAAAGATGTATGAATAACTATATTTTAAAGATGTCAAATCTCACAAAAGCATTCATAATTCTGAACTATATACAGGTGATTATTTCAAATATTAACTGTATTATACAATAAATTGATAGTTTTTGTGAACAGTGGCAGAAATCCCATCACACCTTCTTCAGTAGTCTCCTCTCCAGATAAAGGAATACTGAAGCCATCTTCATACTCCGCAGTCACATTGACCAAGTACAGGGTCTCTGGTTTCAGGTTGCTGAGAACAACACTGGTGCTTGATGCTGGCTCCACCACCGTGACTTCATCATCCCCAGCCATTTCCTTGTAGGTGATATGGTACGAAAAAACGTTTTCTCCAGCAGGAGACCAATTGGTTTTGAAACTATAAGAAGTCACCTCAGAGAACCTGAGATCCTTTGGAGACACATAAGCTGTTTTAAAAAGAAAGAATTAAAGAAAGACATTGGTTAAATGTCTTAAGTCTGATAAAACAAAAGTGGACCTAAAGATTATATATTTCTGAAGTGGCTTTTATACATTTTAGGAATGTTCATTGAGACAAATATACTGAGTAAACACTCTTCACATTACCATTGAGAGGAGGCCTCTCACTTGCAGCCCTACAAGAAGTCTTTATCATTTTGCCTTGACCATCAACCAAATTAAATTATATTTGTTGTTATTAGGTGCCATTGAGTCAGCTCCAACTCATAGTGACCCTATGTACAACAGAATAGAATACTACCTTGTCCTGTGCCAGCCTCACAATACTTGCTATACCTGAGCCCACTGTTGCAGCCATTGTGTTAATCCATCTCGTTGAAGGTCATCCTCTTTTTCGCTGACCCTTCATACTACTACTTAAATGTCAACTGAAAATTGTACTTGAATTTTGAGATTCGTATAACAAAGAAGCAATGGAATGGCTCTACCTAAAATTAGAATATTTAAAGAGTCTAAAAGCAAACTCACTGCCATTGAGACAATTCCAACTTATAGGGACCCTCACTGAGTTTCCAAGATTGTAAATCTTTAAGGAAGCATATTGCCTCATCTTTCCTCCATGGTACAGCCAGTGAATTTGAACTACTGATCTTCTGGTTAGCAGCCAACTGCCTTAACCACTATACAACCAGAGCTCCTTATTTAAAGAGTTAAAAAAAAAAAAAAAACACCAAACTCACTGCTGTGGAGTCGGATCCGACTCAAAGCAACCCCTCCTTGGGTTTCCGAGGCGGTATCACTATGGAAGTGGATTGCCCAACCTTCCTTCCGAGGAGTGGCTGGTGGGTTTGAACCACCAGCCTTCTGGTCAGCAGTCAAATGCCTTAGGCACTACACCACCAGAGATCCCATTTAAAGAGTAGCAGACCTAAAAAGAACCATCAAAGTTTTTCCATTCATCCCAGCATTTGCATATTAAATATTGGTGGTAAGCTATTTCATGGTAATAACTATGGAATTTTTCCTAATAAAATAATATTTTTAAACTAAGCACTGATTAACCAAGAATCATAGGAAAAGACATCATTTAAGACACATTGCATGTCCTCAGGGGACTTACAGTCAAGTTGGAACCACAAGAGAGTGGGAGGTTATTAACAAAACGAAGCAGTATATATAAATGTCAAATGAGTGAAAGTAATAGCACTTGACCACTTAAAGAATACTTTATGGAAAGGATGAGACTTTTATCTAGCCCTTGACAAACAGAATTAAGACAAATGAAGAAAGTGTCAAATGTGAGAAACGTCACCCAGAAATGCCCAGGAACAAGAATGCATATAGAGAATTCAAAGGCCTAGGGCTATGTCTTAGTCATCTTTCATTTTCAAGACCTAGCTCAGTGACTACATAGTAGACTCTCAACAAATGGCTGTTGAATTGAGTATGACAAATAGGTGTGATAAAACTAACCCTGCTTGAGGATCTAGGATCAGGAACCTCTCATGACTCTTATGGACACACAGCTTTTTCACCTACAAATCAATGATCCATACCTAGGAGACTAAGAGACCTAGGAGACTCCAAACTAAATAAACTAATTTTAATAGTTTTCAATAACATTAGAAAGTTGCTTTTTCCTGTACATTCCTTTAATAAGGAATTGAAGGAACATATTATCTGCAATTTGTGAACCAAAAAAAAATTCTTTGCTCATGAAGAGATCATTTTCACTCTACAAAATCTACTTACCTTTTTTCTTTATAGCTGCCAATTCTTGCTCAATTCTAAGGCAGATAGATTGTGTGAGTTCGAAAGATATCCTCTGAAAAGCATCAAAATCTTCCACTGTGAACACATGGGTCTCCGGAGGAGGAGAGGCGATAGCTTCTAATTCGGAGCGAACAGCATCCTTCACACCAACTGCAAAAATCTCAACATCGGAGTTCCTCAGCTTTATGGCAGGATCTCTGAAAGCATCTGACGATTTCCCATCGGTGATGAGAATCATAACCTTTGGTACATTGCTTCTTGAACCCTTGCTAGGCACAAATATTTTCTCTCTGACATAAGTCATTGCTTTGCCAGTATTCGTAGATCCTCCTCTGTAGGGAAAGGTATTTATTGCTTCAATTATATCTTCAACTTTGTTGAATTTTTTCAAAGTAAACTCGGTATGAGGATCCCGGCTATATTGGACAAGACTTATCTGTACCCTATTTGGTGAAATCTCGAAACTTTTCACAAGAACTTCCAAGAAGGCTCTAACTTTAACAAAGTTTGCAATCCCAATGCTATAAGAACCATCAACCAAAAACACAATATCAGCTTTTATATCCACACCACGTGAACATTCTGTAAAGAGAAAGAAAACCCATTAATGTTCAATAAATATGAATTAATGATTAAAATATAGATATCTAGTTTTCTTAATAAGCATGCTCCATTAAAAAGATCTTTTAGAAATATTTTATTTAAAAGTAATTCTGAGCCAATTAAGCATACTGGTTAAGGGGCCTTCAATATTCCAAACCCACTAACACATCTACTAACTTACCCACTTGGACTTTCATGGGCTGAGTCTTTTCCATTATTGATACAGGCTCACTAGATGTCAGTCCTTTCATGGCAGAAACACTAATCTGGTATTCTGTGTCTGCTGAGAGGTCTCGTACACTAAGCATGGTCGTCTGAGGCCCAACACTCAGAGCATGCTGTCTGCTTCCAGCAGTCATTGGTGTGAGGAGGATTTTATAGTGACTCACAGGGCTAGGAGATGGACTCCAACTGAGTTTAATGTATTTTGATGAGACTTCTGTTGCAATCAAATTTGAAGGAGGCTCAATAACTAAAACAAATAACAAGCAGAACAGTGATTAAAAGCAATGAGATATAACCCTATTAATTAGGTTTTTAAGTGTGAATCTTCAATTCATTCTCCTTATTCAAGTCAATAATGAATATAACAAGAACAACTGCCCATTACAAAATATAATGTGTATGGGTTGTTGAATGGGAAACCAATTTGCTCTGTAAAATTTCACCAAAATCACAATAAAATAAGAAGGAAAAAAAAAAAAAAGAATAATTGACCATTCCATTCCCCAAATCCACCTGTACCCATCAAACCAAAAATGATCCAGTGTCTGATCAGGCAAAGATCCATTTTTGGTTTGATAGGTACAGGTGAATTTGGGGGGGGAGGGAGGGAAATTATTCTTGATGTATTCACTATCAGTTGAGGAGCTAAGAAGTTTAGATAAGAGGAAGTCCTTGAAATAAATTAAGGTTAGGACATCTGATGCCTAATTCCTCTCTGGGGCCAAGTTTTCTATTCTGGTTATGGAAATTTCATTCATTGGCTTTATTCTCAGGCACCAAAGCAGGTACTCAAGAAATACATGGTAAAATCAATGACTTACTGAATTCTTTAGAAAGTTTTTCTCTTTGAATAATACCATATGAGTAAAAATGTATTTTTTAAAAGATACTTTATAATATGCCAAGAGAGAGAAAATATTCAGAAGTTTCTAAGTGATAGTTTTAAATAATTTTATTCCCACTTATTTTAGGATGAAAAAGAAAGGTCAGCAATGTTCATAATGCCACCAAACAGAAATGACACAATGGTTTGTTGCATGCATACTGACCTACAAATACTGATCATCCCAATGTAAAAATAGTCATATATATTCAACAGATAATGTAAAGTATTTTAAGATAACTCAAAACAAATCTTCAATATCCTAGCTTTATCAGTGCAATCAAATTTCCAGAAGATATACTTCTAATTTTTTAATCAGTCAGTCTGCAGAAAGTGGGTGCAAAAACAGGCACAATTTTATTCACCCTTCCTCCAGGAAGCCATTGGATATAGTGCATAAAAATGATGTCTAAAGAAAAGAGCAATAACAAGAGGGAAGCAATAGATGTGCCAACCGGAAGTTTGGCCAAACTTTTTGAGTGATGCAGACGCAGCACAGGAAATAGAATTCACAAGCTGATGCCAGGGGAAGAGAGGAAGCCCTGAAGGAAAGTATGAGCACACGTGATATGGCTCCCACTCCCTATACAACTGGACAAAAGATTGGCCTACATTTTCATGCACACAAGTACACTCTAGTGAAAGATGAAGGATTAGAATGTTTTAAAGATTGAGTAAAGAGACATTAATTGTAAGAATAAAAAAAAGCAGAGGTAGAGTGTATAATATAAATATAGATATATATGAAACTTTAGGCAATAATTTAAAAACAGCTACAGCAGTATGTTAATGGGGATCATCCAGAAATTCAAGCTGGATTCAGATGTAGAACAAGGGATATCATTGCTGATGTCAGAGAGGCCTTGGTTGAAAGTAACGCACACCAGAAAGATTTTACGTGTGTTTTATTGGCTATGCAAAGGCATTTCACTGTGTGAATCATAATAAATTAGGATAACATTGTGAAGAATGGGAATTCCAGAACACTTAATTATGCTCATGAGGAACCTGTACATAGACTAAGAGGCAGTTGTTTGAACAAAACTAGGGGATAGTGGGTGGTTTAAAATCAGGAAAGATGTACATCAGGTTGTATCCTTTCACTGTACTTATTGAATCCATATGCTGACCAAATCATCTGAGAAGCTGGACTATATGAAAAAGAACATGGCATAAGACTAGAGGAAGACTCATTAACAACCTGTGATATATAGATGACACAAGCTTGCTTGCTTGCTTGCTAAAAGTGAACACGATTTGAAGCATTAACTGATGATTCAGTACAGATTACACCTCAATATAAAGAAAACTAAAATCCTTACAAATGGATCAATAAACAACATCACAATATAAATGGAGGAAAAATTGAAGTTGTCAGAGATTTCATTTTACTTGGATCCACATCAACACCCATTAAAGCAGCAGTCAAAAAATCAGAAAACATATTGCACTGGCCAAATCTGCTGCAAAAGACCACTTTCTAGTATTAAAAAGAAAAGATGTCATTTTGAAGACTAAGGTATGCCTGACCCAATCTATGGTATTTTCAATAGCCTCATATGCCTGTGAAAGCTGGACAATGAATAAGAAAGACCAAAGAATTGATGCATTTGAATTGTGGTATAGCTGAAGAAAACTGAAAATACCATGAACTCTCAGAAGAACAAACAAATCTGTATTGGAAGAAGTACAGCCAGAATGCCCCTTAGGAGTGAGAATGGTCAAATTTCATGTCATGTACTTTGGTCATGTTATCAGAAGGGACCAGTCCCTGGACAAGATGTCATGCTTGGTAAAGTAGAGGTTTAGCAAAAAAGGGGAAGCCCCTCAACAAGATGGATTGACACAGTGGGTGCAACGATGAGCTCAAGCATAGCAAAGACTGTGAGGATGGTGCAGGACTGGGCAGTGCTTCCTTCTGTTGTACACAGAACCAACTCAGTGGCACTGAACAACAACATAACAAGGAAAAAGATTCAGAATCCAGTAAGTCATGAAAGTTCTCAGTCAGAATTAGGGCCAATGAATATTCCCAAGATATCTGTGTAAAGGTTTATAAGATTGAACATGTAGTTATCTAGAACATATTTTTAATCACTTGCTGATTCTCAAACTGAGAGAGCAATTATAGAAAAATATAAGGGGTTTGCATAGTGACTTCATTACACTCAAAAAGAGGCTTATGAATCATCCCTCGATGTATCTTTTCTGTCTCCTCTGTATTTCAAAGCGATAATTGATAGAAATGTGAAAATACTTCGTATGTGGGCAGCTCAAATTGACTGATCCTTTGAAAAGTTCTTAAAAGATTTGAAACAATTATACGGAATAAGATGTTTGAAAATCTTTTTCCTTAGCCAGTTAGTAGAAACAGTGTTATTATTATTTTGTTATAGAGAGCTATAATAAACATTTCCCCAGTCTGCCAGTCTCTAAATCAGAGTACAAGATCATTAAAACAAGACCATGATAGTATGATTATGAATAGGCACTCAAAGTACACAAAAGGTTCTTGAAGATAAGAGCAAATCAAAAATTGCCCAACATACATTTTTAAGAACTTTATAATGATAGAAGTATGTTATTGACTGTTCTGCTGAAGACAGAGGGAAGGGCCCACGGTACCCACAAGCGGGGATACTGGAAAATAATACAAATGGAGTAGTCAACTGGGAAATAGGTTTGAATAAGTATGAGGTTGAGTATGATACTTGCAGGGCTATTTAGTGGTATCAAGTAATGGAAAAGGTAAATAGGTGAGGAACATTCAACAGCAAAGCCACTCACCTTCTTCTCCACTAACCAATTCACCGAGTTGTTCATCAACACCTGAGCACACTTGGGAGATTATTTCATTCTGAATATCCACAATTGCATCAAAGTTAGCCACGTTGAAAACATGGTTCAGTGAAGGTGTGGAGGCGATTTGTTTGAGTTCTTTTGCATCTGCAGCTTTAATGCCTGAAAAATTAAAAAAAAAAAAGGGGGGGGTATATTGAGAAGAGCAGTGTGCAGACTTAGGGGAAGTTCTTTGCTTTCCCAGTCTTTTACAAGTGAAGACATTTTCAAATCATTATTAAGTCATAAACCAGAATTGCCTTTCTTAATAACCAATGCACAACTGTTCAGATGACAAAGGCATTTTATAATTTCACATAAAGTGGTAAGCCAAAGAAGAAACCAAATGGTTAGTAAAACAGAGGGGGCTCTCATCCCAACCATGCCATCATCTGTCTCTGCCATCTGTAAAGATAATACTTTTTTTCTTCCAGGGTCCTGAATGTGCTGGAGTCCTCTGAATTCTTCAAGTATTACATAATATAGGCAACACATTAAAAAAAAATCTTAATGATAATACAAGGAGGATCTTTATTAGAATCACTGGCCCAGCAGTCTTTGAAAAGCAGAGAGCTGGCAAAGAACAGGAATACCACCTCGCTCAATGTATATGCTACGGGAGTTACGTGAGAAAAATAGATCAAAAAATTTTATTCAAAGATGACTGGGTTTAATACAACACTATAAAATGTAGTAAGTACGTCTAACAGCATCATTCCTTGAGTAATCAAACCTTTATCTTCCTAAGCTTTAAAAGTATTGATATAATTCTAAAAGGAAAATAATGAGTCAGAACTAACGTACCCAAAGAGAAAACTTCAACCCCAATATTGCGAAGGTTTCTTGCTGGAATTTCCACTTCATCCTGGGATTTGCCATCAGTAATAATAATCGCCACTTTAGGAAACCCAATTCTTGCTCCAGCAGATTCCGTAAAAGTATTTTTAATTAAGTAATCAATGGCATCCCCTGAAGTGAAAAAGAGAAAGGTCCATTTACTCTGTACTATGCAATTCTGACTAAATCAAAAGCTATGTGATTTCAAAAGTATTTAATATGTGATAATTGTACAATGCTTAATTTCTTTCCCAAGTAGATATTTATTTTATTTTAAACAATAACAAAACCTGTAAAACATACCTGTCATTGTGTTGCCACCTTTATATGGGATTTTTTTAATTGCAGCAAGAAGCTCATTCCTTTGATAGTACTGACTTAAGTTAAATTCAGTCCTGGTGTCAGAGCTGTACTGGACAACTCCAACCCTTGTCTTCTCTTCCCCAATGTCAAAAGCTGACACAAGAGCAGCAATAAAGTCTAAAATATACTTGAAATTGTTTCTTCCCACACTCCATGAGCCATCCACAAGGAAAACTAAATCAGTCCAGGCACTGACAGAGCATTCTGAAATACAAGTGATACATTTTTTAATGACGCCATGAATAAATGTATCTATCATTAAGAAATGCAAATTAACATTGCAACACTAAAAAGAAGAGCTGCTTAAATCATTGTTCATTACAGCCCCTTTACCCCTTGTTGCACACCCACAACAGACAGGCAAAACATCTATCTATCTATCTATCTATCTAGAAAACTATATATACTATGGGAGCTCTGGTAGCATAGTGCCTAAGGCACTTGACTGTTAACCAGAAGCCTGGTGGTTCAAATTCACCAGCCACTCCTCGGAAGGAAGGTTGGGCAATCTACTTCTGTAGTGATACCACCTCGGAAATCCAAGGAGGAGTCTCTATGAGTTGGATCTAACTCAACAGCACATAACAACAACAACAACAACAATATATATACTATATATATATCTATACTATACTATATATACTATATATATATCTATAGGTAGATAGATAGATATAATTTCATTAACACACATAGAAGCATTTTCATCAGGATGCATTTTGAAATTGTAAATCTTTAAATTCCCATATAAGGAATTATGCATGAAAAGATAAATAAATAAATCTCTCCAGGAGCATACAATCCAAGAATTCAACTCAACAGCAATCACTCAAATAAATTTTGTGAACTATATCTTCCCAGCAAAAAGTAAAAAAGAAATGTAAGTAAAGTGTTTCCTTGTCATGGCATTTATCGATAAAAAAATTACAAAATAATTGCTGTACCATTCAAGAAATACAGTTGAGTTGAAGAAACATAAAACCTTTTAAAATTCTCTTGCATTTTATGACATAATTGTGTGAAGATTGCAGTAAGGTTAGTCTAGAGAGTTAATGGAGTCTAACATAAGTAAAAACAAGTATAAATATTATGCAAAATAGCCAGAATATCTTGTTGTCCTAATTACCAAAGTATTCAAAGTTGACAGGTAAGACCTATTTTTACTAAAACACAAAAATCTATGTGTTATCTTTAAATTATTTAAATGTATTATTGACTTTATAACTGAATACATTATCTTTCCTTCTGGCTTAGTTATCTACTACTGCTAAAACAGAAAAACCACAAGTGGGTTGCTTTAACAAACAGAAATTTATTTTCTCACAGTTTAGGAAGCTAAAAGTCTGAATTCAGGGCACTGGTTTGAAGTAGGAAGGCTTTTCTCTTTGTTGGCTGTGGAGCAAAGTCCTTGTCTTTTCTGAGCTTCTGCTCCTGGGCAATCTTCATGTGCTTGGCATCTCTCTTCTCGCCCCTGCTTCTTTCACTTGCTTGTTGAATCTCTCTTATATCTCAGAAAAGATTGATTCAAGACATCCTCCACTAATCCTGCCTCATTAACATAAGAAAGACAACAACAAACCCACTCCAAAATGGGATTATAACCTAGGCATAGAGGTTAGGAATTACAAATGCATATTTTTAGGGGACCCAGTTCCATCCATAACATCTCATTCTTAGGCCCCCAAAAGTCCACGTCCTTCCTACATGAAAAATACATTCACCCTATCACATCATCCCAAAAGTTTTAAATCAACTCCAACTCCAAACTCTCATCTTTGGAGTCATATAAATCAAATATGAGTGAGACTTTATGTGTATTCCATCCTGGGCAAAATTCTTCTTCATCTGTGAATCTGAAATCTAGACTACAAGTTACATGTTTCCAAAGTGCAATGGTGGAACAGGCACAAGGTAGATGTTTCTATTACAAATGGGAGTAATTGGAGGGAATGAAGGGATAGCAGACACCAAAACCAAAACCCACTGCCATCACACCAATTCTGACTCATAGAGACCCCACTGGATTTCCAAGGCTGCAAATCTTTACAGAAGCAGACTGTCTCATCTTTCTTCTGCAGGGCAGCTAGTGGGTTCAAACCACCAACCTTTTGGTTAGCAGCCAAATGCCTTAACCACCAGAGCTCTTTTGTATTAATAATATTGTTCAATAATTTCTGCATTCTGTTCTATTATCTTCCTTTGGAATGGGCACAGATATAGGTCTCTTTTAGGTGATTGGCTGAGTAGCTGTCTTCCAAATTACTTGGCATAGGCAATTGAGAGCTTCCAGCATTGCATCCATTTGTTGAAACATCTCAGTTGGTATTCCATTAATTCCCAGAGCCTTGTTTTCACCAATGCCTTGGACTTCTTCCTTCAATAACATCTACTCTTGATTATATCATAAAATCAAAACCCAACCCACTGCCATCAAGTCAATTCCAACTCACAGTGACCCCATTGGGTTTCCAAGGCTGTGAATCTTTATGGAAGCAGATTGCCTCCTCTTTCTTCCATGGAGCTTCTGGTGGGTTTGAACCACTGACCTTCTGATTAGCAGCCAAATGCCTTAACCACTACACCAGAGTGCCTTTAACAGACACCAAGCAAGTCCAAAACCTAGCATAACAAATTATATTAGTTCTCAAGGCTTGAAAACAATCGTCTCTTCTCAAAGACCATCTGTCTGAGCAATGGCCCCACCCTCTAGACTCTGGGGTTGGCTATACCTTCTGTATTCTGGGTGGAGGCCCCTTGACCCTGAGCTTCAGCTGTGCCTTCCAGACCCTCTGAGATAGCAACTCTGCTCCCTTAGCTTTGTTGCTGTTGTTATGTGCCATCGAGTCGGACCCAACTCATAGCAATCCCTCCTTGGGTTTCCGACGTAGTATCACTATGGAATTAGATTGCCCAACCTTCCTTCCAAGGAGTGGCTGGTGGGTTTGAACTGCTAGCCTTCTGGTTAGCAGTCAAGTGCCTTAGGCACTACACTACTAGAACTCCTCCCTCAGCTTTAGGTGGCCCCATTGTCCTAATCCATCTAAGTGGTGACCTGACCCCCTTGGCCCCAACAGGTCTTGCTCTTCTGTCCTTGGGCATGGCAGTACTCCCTCCCGTCCAGCACTGACCAGTGGCCCCATCCCCCTGGCATAGCTTAATGGCAGCCCCACAATCTGGAGCCAAGTTGGTGAAGATCTGACTCTTTGAAACCTAAGAGGCTGTGGCCTCACCATTTGAAAAATGAGAAAGCCCTGCTTCCTGTGCTCCTTCCACCAGTTCTACTGATGTCCAAGCTGCTCCAAAGATGGTTGTTTCTTTTCCTGGAGGACAACAGATGTAGCTCCTTTGGCCTGTTTCCTGGCTGTAGAATCCCAAGAAGCAGACAACTTTCTTTTCTTTCTTTCTTTCTCTATCTCCTTTAATCTAAACTGATGGATTTTCTGCTATGGTAGTTGGTTAATCCATCACTCACAGGCTTAATCTCTATTACAAAAGATTGTGTAGTCATCCTTAGTGAACATTCTAGGACATATGTCCTTAGTTTGTACAACAGAATATTCCAAGTTTTTAAGTTCTGTTTTCATTTTTCTCAGTTCATTTTTAAGTCCATCTGTTTCTCCTCAATTTTACTGTAAGTGGCAAGGAGAAATCACGTGGTCCATTTAAGATTTTGCTTAGAAATCTCAACACCCAGATAACAAAGTTCATAACTTACAAGTTCTACCTTCCATCAAATATTTAAAATTCAGACAAGTTCTTTGCCATACATAAAAAGGATCACTCCTCCTTCATTGTCCAAACACATGTTCACCATTTGGTTTTAAAGCCTCACCAGAGGCACATTTAACATCCACATTTCTAGCAACATTCTGTTGCTGGAACCATATGTATTCTCTAAATTGATAGACACTTTCTCTATAGCCCTCACCAGAATTGCCTTTGATGTCTATAATTCCAGCAACAATCTCTTCAAGGTAATCTAGGCTTTTACTACTAACCAAAAAAAAAAAAAAACCAACCAAATTTACTGCACTGACTCATAGCAACCCCTCCTTGGGTTTCCTAGGTGGTATCACTACAGAAGTAGATTAGCCAAACATCCTTCCAAGGAGTGGCTGGTGGGTTTGAACCACCAGCCTTCTGGTTAGCAGTCAAATGCCTTAGGCACTATGCCACCAGAGTTCTTTAAATTTTTGCAGCCTCTGCCCCTTACCCAATTCCAAAATTGCTTCCACATTTTAGGTATCTGTTAGTATACCACCCTACTCTTGGTACCAAATTCTATCTTTGTTATCTACTGCTACTATAGCAGAACTATTACAAGTGGATGACTTTAACAAACAGAAATTTATTTTCTCACAATTTAGGAAGCTAGCTGTCTGAATTCAAGGCACTGGCTCTAGAGGAGGAGGCTTTCTCTCTGTCAGCTCTGGAGGAAAGTCCTTGTCTCCTTTGACTTTTGCTCCTGGACAATTTTCTTGTGCTTGGCATGTCCCTTCCCTCCATCTCTGCTTCTCTCACATATGTGTTTAATCTCTTTTATATCTCAAAAAGGATTGACTCAAGATACACCCTACTCTAATCTTGCCTCATTGACATAACGAAGACTACCCATTCCCAAGTGGGATTATAACCACAGGCATAGAAATTAGGAATTACAATACATATTTTGGAGGGGCACAATTCAATCAATAATACCTTCCTATTGTGGCGGGGGGGTTGGTTTTCATGAAAATCTGTGTTTGTGCAGCAACACTGAGCACATTTTCTGAAGATATTTTTGTCCTTGTAGTCAGTAGGTAGATAATAAAAGAAATATTTGTCTAGAAATAGGAAGAATGGGCCCTGGAAAATTTTGCAAACCTAATGCAAGTTATATGCCTAAATAAGTTTGGCATACTATTTAATGGGCCAATTAAGTCTCTTAAAAAGTCAATATTTGGCATAATGCTTTGCTATTGATAGTTTAGGGAAAACATTAGCATTGTAATTGCATTCCATAAATGTCATTTCAGATTACCATGTCTCAGAAAGAATAATAAACAGTGATCTGGAGAGAAATATTTCAGATAAAAAGGCCTTTGTGTTTATAATCTTTTTCAGTATCATTGTCTGACATAAATTCAGCTTTTATAAGGTGGCAAAATTAGAAGTCTTAGAAACTTCTTAAGAGTACATCCTAGTAAGTCAGACAAAGCAGTATAAGACAAAATGAGGCTAACCACTGCAAAACCTAGACTAAATAAAATTTCTTTCACCCAATTAAAAAATGCACCAATGTATTAGAAATATCTTACAGACACTCTGGAAAAGGTTACAACTATTATCAGCAAAGGCCATGTAAATGCTCTAGAGATAAAGATAACATACACATAGAAATATATCTTTATGGCAATTGAATTGTTTCAAAACCTAAATGAGGGCATCTCTATCCTGTTCCAGCCTTAGTATTCCTCATACATTCCTTAAAAACTTGGAATATTCTGTTGTACAAACTAAGGACAAATGTCCTAGAATGTCCACTAAGGATGACTACTAAGGATGAAGTTACCAAATACTTCTATCAATTTACCTTTGAGAAAAGAGCTGTGTCCAGCTTTGCTTTCCATCTACTGCCAAAGTTTTGCAGAAAAGTTTGGACACATGTTAAATTGAAAACACTCCCAATAAAAAGAATATTTAGTAAATAGAATGAAAAATCTGCCAGAATATCAGAATTTAGAACCGCTCACTTATACACTGCTCTTACATTATCCGTGCTTCTTCTAGATAAATCATACAGAAGTTAATACACGAATAAGATCATTCATTCTATGTATATAACTATAACATCTCCTAGATACTACATTTATGATGTCTACAAATTCAAGCAAAAATATTAAGGGAAACACTTACTTTGTATCTCTGTTTTTCCAGGCTTCTTCTCCCCTGGCTTCCTGGGACCACCTGTTTGAACTGAAATTGAAACCTAATAATTACAAAAGGAAATGTACCCAAAAAATATTTCTTAATAAAGGAATTAATGTAACACCATTGTTTGTCAAATGTATGGTCCATGACCTGCTGCAAATCAGCATGTCCTTACAAATAAAATATTTTTAGTGAGATTTTAGAGTTATTTCAAAAACAGATTAACTCTATTGCCCTGCAAAATGTATTCCTGCTGCTTCCAGGGACCAGGACCATAATTTGGAAATGAATTATTCACATTCACTCATAACTAGGAACATAGAAAGAGTAATTAATGCTGGTATAAATTAACTCTATATGATAACAGATTAAATCTGAAAATAGAAATCTTCTGAAAGTATAAACGTACTTGAGATTTATGTGTGCTTACTTGTTAGTTGGCCTATAACTGGTACACTTTCTTCTACTTCATCATATGAAGTTATTGTCACCACATACTCTATTTCAGGTATAAGGTCTGACAGCAAAGTTTCAGTGGTACTAGGTGCAAGGGTAAATTCTTTAGTGGGTCCATCTGGAAAATAATATAGAAAGGAAAATTATGAGTACCAAAAAAAAATTCCCTGATATATAACACAACACAACATAATGTAATTCCAAGATGTACTCAAAATTTGAAGGTAGAATATATATAATTTAGAACACCCAAACATTGTTTTTGTTTTATTTTGTTATTGTGGTTGAGAATATACACAGCAAAACCTACACCAATTCAACAGTTTCTACATGCACCATTTAGTGAGTTTGATTATATTCTTCGAGTTGTGCAACCATTCTCACCCTCCTCTTCTGAATTGTCACTCCTCCATTAACATAAACTCACTGCCCCATAAGGTTTCTATCAAATCCTTCAAGTTGCTGTTGTCACTTTGATCCCATATAGACAGTTCTTAAAAGAGCATAATGCTCAAGGCAGACATTTTTATTAATTAAGCTAAACTATTGTTTGCTTTTAAGACTTCAGGGGATATGTTAAGGTTTAAAGATTATGCCAGGGCAATAGTTTCTGAGGCTTATTCAATCTTCATGACTCCAGACACAGACAGCTCAGAGTACATGAGAATTTGAAATTCTGTTCTAATTTTCCCCCTTTTGATCAAGATGCCTCTATAGAATCTTTGATCAAAATATTCAGTAATGGTAGGTGAGCACTACCCAGTTCTGGTCTTATGGCAAAGAACGTAGCTGTTCATGGAGGCAATTGGCCACACATTCCATATCCTCCACCTTAGTTTCCTTCTTCTCTGTTGCTCCAGGTGAATAAACCAAACCAAAACCAATATTTGCCCTCGAGTCAGATCCGACTCATAGCGACCCCTCCTTGGGCTTCCAAGGTGATACCACTAGGGAAGTAGATTGCCCAACCTTCCTTCCCAGGAGTGGCTAGTGGGTTTGAACCACCAGACTTCTGGTTAGCAGTCAAATGCCTTAGGCACTATGCTACCAGAGATAACTTGCTATTCCTTTGTTGGCCACTTGCAAGCCGTTAAGACCCCAGCCACTACACAATGAACTAGAAGGTAGAACAGAAGCACTAAACACATTATGAGACCAATTAACCCCAAACCAAGAAATGAAATCCTACAGGTTTTGGTTCTACTTAAGCAGCCTTAACAACTACTCTTTTTTTTCTGTCATTGTTGGATAGAAACATTATTTTTCACTGTCTTCCAAAGCTAAAACTTTGAATTCTAGAAATTTAACAAATGGATTTGCATTACCTTAACTTGCCTCGGAAACCCAAGGAGGGGTCGCTATGAGTCGGGGCCAACTCAATGGCATATAACAAAAACAATTTGTTATAATCGTATTTAATATTTGTTTAAGGTATTAAGGATTCCTCTAGATTAAAATTATACTAGAATATCAAACCAAAAATCTGTTGTTTTAATTTTGAAGACTAATGTTAGATATAAAATATTTATAAATGAGATATAAAACAGAAAATAATTTAATTTTAAACAGATAGAAGGAATGAAATCAACTCAAGAGAAACAAACCTCTTAGTGCCTAAGGCATTTGACCGCTAACCAGAAGGCTGGTGGTTCAAACCCACCAGCCACTCCTCAGAAGGAAGATTGGGCAATCTACTTCCATAGAGATACCACCTCGGAAACCCAAGGAGGGATCACTATGAGTCAAATTGACTCAACAGCAGTGAGCTTGGTTTGTTTTTTTCAGTGGGACACAATATGTAAGCAATCTGACCACCATGCTCAAACAGGTGCATTATCTTAAAGGATAACCATGGTCATCTGAATTGACTGAACCAGATATCAAACATTTGACAATACAGTGTACTGAGTATTTATTTATATATTGACAATTATGTCCTTTCCTCTAGATTATTTTAATTCTCAGTTCAAAAAGGAAACACAGTAATTCCTAAGGATTAATTAAGTACCTATAAGGCATTTGACTGCTAACCAGAAGTCTGGCAATTCTAACCCACCAGCCACTCCTCAGAAGGAAGATTGGGCAATCTACTTTCATAGTGATACCACCTCGGAAACCCCAGGAGGGGTTGCTATGAGTCGGATCCAACTCAATGGCAGTGAGTTTGGTTTTGGTTTTTTAATACTTTTAGTTATAGTAAAGTTCCCCAAAAACATAAATAATTAAGAAAGGTAATAGGTGTAAAAGAACCCTGAGAAATGTTCTGGTTTGTATGTGGAACATTAGAAATAAATCAGGACCCCCTGGAGACACTAGGAGTCTGTGGGGTTGGGTAGTCCCAGGAGTAGTTTGGGGTGTATTGTGAGTCAGTATTTTCTGACATCTAGAAACTGAATGAATCCTTTTTCAACTGCTGTTTTGCTTTATAATGAATGAAAATACTAACTGCAAATACATTTGAGGAGAAAAAATTCGAAGAAGAAAAATTAAATGATTGACCTCTTTTTTTTGTTCAAGCCTCAGATTTTAAATTAAAAAAAAAAAAAAAAAAAAATCCCAATTCTCTAATAAGCCAACATTTAAAATCTTGGTATTTTTAAAGACCATACAATATGTAAACATATCTCTGGTGATAAGTTGACATCATCCATCTCTACTGTCAGCCAAACAATCAAGACTTCTTCCTACCACTTGGCAAGTGTCAGTAGAAATGATTATTTTCCCTTAGAACTAAAAGCTAACCAACAGAGATTGGTTCTCCACATTTGGGCAACCTCATTAACACTAAAGATAACTCTTGAGTACAACCAAAACAAGTTATTTTTTTCAAAGGCCTTTTGCCTAGGGATCTACAGAATCAGTGTTTCCAGATCTGTTTTTTTGTTTTGTTCATCATATTAGCACATCACAATACCAGAATAATGTTTTCTAAGTACTCAAATTGTGGTACTGGGAAAGATGGACAGCTCACTGCGTAACTTGACACTTGAGATATTGGAAAGATTAAGTAGTTCCAGAAAAATGCAGAAAAGTAAGGACTCTATTTTATAATATCAAAAATTACGTATAATATTCTGACCAGGTTAAAAGAAAGTCCATTTTTAATAACATCAGCTTAACACAGCAAATCATGTTAATGAAGTTCAATATTCTAAAACTGTAGTAGTAGAAAACTGGAGACTGGGTCTACCAAATATCTGGTGATACTAGTCAAATCCTTCCTACTTTCAGGATCTCAGCTTCCTCATGAAATGGGAGGAGATGAAGAAATCGTATTATATCATCCCTGATGTTTTGAACTCACCTGTTGTAGGATCCACTGTTATTCTGTAACCCACAATTGGATCAGCTGGTCTTGCCCATGACATATGAACAGTATTTTCATCTATAATTTTAAAATTCAAGTCTGAAGGTGGGTCAACTGCAAAAGAGATAGTTGATATTAGTTACCTTTTCCAGTGTCACAAAATGGTCAATTAATAAAGAATTGTGTTGAGCAAAGCTTACTAAAATTGTCTTTGCATAAATTTGTTTCCAACAAATATAAAAGATATCTTGTTGGATAAGAATAAAATTAAAAGCTGACAAGATATGACAAAACATTAGAGTATACATATTACAGAAGACAGCACAAAACACTTTTGATTCTTGAGTTGCTAGGTCATTCAAGAATGGCCAGCAAAATCAAGCATAATAGAAACATATTGGGATACAAAACATAGAAGTACAATGAAATCACATATAATAACCACGTATGCAAACAATTCACATAACAATTAAAGGAATTTCAATACATGCTGAGTGCATTTCCAACAAGCATGCCAAATCACAACCTGCTTACAACCATAGAAGTTAATTTAGAACATTGACATAATACTCTTTTCAATGATATTTTTAGTTCATTCTCTGCATTGTTGCTTTGCTATTATGTTTCGATAAATCTCAATCTGTGGCAGAGATGAAGAAACGTATTTGAATCAAAAGAAAGAATCATGGGGAACTAGGCACTGTTATGTCTCACCAGGAAATATACATTTAAATGTATATTCATATCCATATAGGCAAATATTCAAAGTGATAAGGGATGATAATATTTATAATTATATAAACAGTGATATACAGATGTTTATAAAACAAATATTCTGCCTGTTTACACCAACTTGCTATATGCTTCTAAGGTGTAAACCAATACTGTTCTTTTCCTTTGCAGCAGGTATACTCCATACTAGAAATGGCATTTTAAACAAAAATGCCAGTATGGTCATTTATAAAACAATGGTTAATTATGAAAAGACAACATCAATGTGTATGTGTGAACATTTATTTATAGATTTAAAGAAAACAGTGAAGAAGGATCAGCAATCTGAAGACATGATTGTACATTAAAAAAATAAACTTGGAAAAGTCAATGACAGAAATAACTGAAAAGTACAGAAAGGAATAGCTTACATACAAAACTGTACAGCATCATGCATATGTCAATGAAATGTTGACTCGTTTTTAGTTTCCCACAATGAACAAAAGCCTCCATGTACAATAGTCATTACACAAAGACGTTTCAGAAATATTTTATAATGATATTCTCTCTACAATGTTCATGCCTCATCATGCAGCATTGTACTGACTCACTGTCGGTGCATTAAAAAGTATTGCTTTTGAAGCAAGTCAACAACATAAGATGACTATCAGCCATACTCTTTTTAAAGTGTTTGAGTCTCAAAGTATTCCTTGTGAGTCAGAATTTTTGCATCTGTTTTGAGAGATTGTAATCTCCTTTAAGTTTTTATAGAGGTCAATTGAAATACAGTAGTAGTTTTGAGACATGAGTCATGGAATTTAACTTGGGTTAGAGATTGATGTAATATTAATAGCACATTTTAATAAAAATAAAACAAATTAAGCAAACATTTGCTTAAATGAACTGTTGCTTCCAACTGTAGGAGATGGCTTATAATTTTTATTGGACTTATTAGGACTGGAATGAATGTTACTTTCTTATTATCCATACACAGGCAGTGAGATTAGACTATTAATCTACATGCATAGCTTAATAATTTAACACTTGCTGTCTGTAACCACTGCAGGGTTTAGCTGTAGTCATCACTTAATATAACGAGCATGCAACAGATGTTAATAGGAAAATAGGTATTAAGAATATCATTATAAAATATTGTCCCAATAGCAATGGCTCAGGACAAATTTAATGCAAAGGCAGACACAACTGGCCTGAGCATGCTTAAAAAAAAAATCAGTACATGGAAAAACAGTACCACCAACCTTGGAAGGAAATTGAACTGATGCAGCGGACATTAGGTTAAAACTGCTGACGGGCAGCAGCAGCCCACCTTGTTGATTTCCAAATGACCAGGATTCCAGATAAACTGAAAAATTGACTGTGAGGAAAAGTCTTTAACATTCAAAGGATTTTAAGGTGTTTATAGGTACTCAGATGTGGCACTTGGGAATCACAAGTAGGAAAGAATTGACAACCAGCATTGGAACAAGAGCCCACTTCATTCTTCTTCTTGCTGATTTTATTGCATACACAACCTTTTAGGCTTGCCAATCTATTTACTTTTTTAAAAATGTTTCATGGAAAAATATAACAGAGCAGGGATGAGTGTGTGAGCCATATCAATTTGAAACAATACAAAATGATTTTGACTAATTTTGAGAATCTTCTCATTTACATAAAAATAATTCACAACTGTCATTGCAATGTCTATGTGTTTCCTAGAACAATAGTGATGCCAGAATATCTCAAACAGGAAGTGTCTACATATGGACTACAAATGGAAAGGGCAATAGTCATACAGACTGAAAATCTGAAACAAGAGACAAAAAACTTGTTGCTTTGGAATCCATTCCTATAAGACAAAGTAGAACTGCCCTATCATAGGGTTTCCCAAGGCTATAATCCTTTAGGAAAAAGATTGTCACATCTTTCTCCCCAAGAACAGCTGGTGAGTTCAAATTATCATTTCTATTAGTCCACTGAGCTCTTAACCACTGTACAACCAGAGCTCCTTCAAACCAACAATATAGACTAAGATACAAATACAAATAAGATAACAATCAGATACATTTCTAAAATCGGAACATTGATGAAGAAGAGAATAAGTGTTTAAGTATAAATAATTCTAGCAATTTCACTTCATATTTACAAATTATGCCTTTTTGTTATTGAAATGTTATAAAAGCCTCATTCTGATGAGATTGTATTACATAAATTGGCAGGATTTTAGGACGTTTAGGAGTGCTAATGACAGCTAGGGTGCTCTGGTGGTGTAATGTCTAAGGCATCTGACTGCTAGCCAGAAGGCTGGTGGTTCAAACCCACCAGCCACTCCCTGGAAGGAAGTTTGGGCAATCTACTTCTGTAGTGATATTGCCTCAGAAACCCAAGGAGGGGTCACTATGAGTCAGACATGACTCGACGGGAGCAGGTAATGACAGCTAACATTTCCTGTCTACTATGTAACAGACAGAGTGCTAGTCAATTTATATACGGTCTTTTTTTACCTCAAAGTAACCCAGTATGGTGGGCTTTATCATCCCCACTTTACAGTAAGTCAGTGACACTTGGAGAGGTTAAAAAAGCTAATAAGAAGCAAGACTAGGATTTGATGCCAGAATCTGACTGCAAAGCATGTAGTCTTCTACCGTACCTAATTAAATGTAAAAATGCAAAAACATCTGAGTCAAAGATTCACTTCAGAAACCAATATTTTATACGTAGTTGCTTGTTCAAATACAGATACATATTTCTCTACTCTAAAAAAAGGAAATTACTGGAAGAAAAAATGACACCTAGTCAATAATAAATTGATATTCAGATATCTTCAATTCAGATATGAATGTAATTCGGTGTATTAACTTTTTACACTTGTTTAAATAATGTTGAGAATAAAGTGTCTTCTGGCTATATCTCTTGATATATAATAAAGAAAAATAAATTTTTCCATAAGGCACCCAAAAGGAGTGCAATATGGCAGAATTGATGGATATATGAGTGAAAGGGATGAAGGAAAGAAAGATAAACAGGTGGAAGAACAATAGTCTAGTAAGTTCTGGTAAGATAAAGCAAAGCTAAGAACACATTACTACAACATCATCTTGATGAAACGGTAACACTTTTAGTCCTATATTGAGTTAACATCACTGGAAGGAATACTACCTTAATGGTGGAAAACTTTAAAAGTGTGCAAAGTATGTGAGTTACTTATATTCAATAAGCATTAATTTATAATATATTTCCATCCAAAGTTAGTAGGAACTTAATTATCTTTGCCATGATATAATATGGAGCTCTGGTGGCCTAGTGCCTAAGGCATTTGACTGCTAACCAGGAGGCTGGTGGTTCAAACTCACCAGCCACTCCTCAGAAGGAAGATTGGGCAATCTACTTCCATAGTGCTACCACCTTGGAAACCCAATAATTCATTTCATTTGTGTCTATAAAATACCAAAAATTACTAGTTGAAAATTTAATATTTCACACAAGCAATAGATTATTTTATATATATTATAAATGCATTTTCTCATTAATGAGTCTGATTAGGTTTGCTTGTGTTGGTATAGTGCCTAAAGCACTTGACTGCTAACCAGAAGGCTGGCAGTTCCAACTCACCAGACACTCCTTGGAAGGAAGGTTAGGCAATATACTTCCCTAGTGATACTGCCTCAGAAACCCAAGGAGGAGTCAGTGTGAGTCAAAGTCAACTCCACAGCAGTGAGTTTGGTTTTTTTTGGGGGGGTGGGGTTGTCAAAAAAAAGCAAAAAGGAAGCACAGCATGACCACATGACCATACCAGCAATAAACTAGGACTAGAACATTTGGGTCATTGTCCCTAAATAACTGCATTAGTTGACCAAGTTTTTCAGCCTCTCTTGGTCCTGTTTTCTCTTTTGGAAACTAAGAGGATTGGAATAGATTATCTCTAAATTCTCTCATTTGAAATACATCATAACATAAATTAGATTATGTAATTTGCATAACATAAATTAAGGGGGTTAGCATTATATGCTAATTAACCTTTTAACATATACAAAAGAAACTTAAATCTTATGGCCTCAACTCACTGATGAATTGGTAATGTCCAATTGTACATTATATATTATAAATCAGACCTATTATAATTAAAATTCTGTTTTTCACAAAAGGAGCCCTGGTAACTTAATGGTTAATTGCTCAGCTGACAATCAACAGGTTAGCAGTTGAACCCACCCAGTGGTTCCACGGAGGAAGACCTGGAGACCCACTCCTGTAAAGATTACAGCCTAGAAAACTGTACTCAAGGAGTACATGGAAAACTGTCATATGGAGTCACTATGAGTCAAAATTAATTCAGTGGCACCTAAGAATAATGCTTCTTCACAAAATATGTGTATTCATCTCAACTTATTGATCAATTAAAAAGGTATCCAATTCTCTAGCCATTAATCTTTAAATGCGAAGTATTGAATTTTCTAAGCCACAATTAACATACTATGTGATTCATGAACTGAAAATAATTCATACATTCAAGGTCATACACAGCATTGGCTAAGCTGTAAAGTCAAGGAAGTCTATTCTGTAGTGAAAAATTACAAATAATGAAAACAAAACCAAAAAAATCATTTTCACCCCTAGTTTATAGAGCAAAATACTACATTATGGAAAATGTAGTTCCTAAGAAAAGTAGTCAGAGGGAAAACAACATGATGAAGACAGTACTGCCATAAAATAAAAATGAAAAAGGTGAAGGGCAACTCTTTCAATTCATATCAAAAAAGACATTAGTTTTTCAACATACAAAAGATCAAATAGAAAATAGTCAGAAAACAGATAGGAATGCAACAGTACAAGTATGAATCATGAAAGAGAAAGAAAATTAACTATGGGTGCTTTAGGACTAAAATGGCATAGTAGGAAACTGGAGTTTAATTCAAAATTTTGAAGAGCTCCCAAAGGAAATATTTCAAAGAAATTCTGTTTCCAGCTCACTGTCTCCACAAAGGACTTGGCCCTAAGTTTTGTTAGTCTTCCCGAGGATTCTGGAGCCATTTAGCTGGTAATTGACATTATAGCTATGCTGTCCAATATATGTGCCATATACCACATATGGATATCTAATACTTATAATGTGACCAGTCCAAATTGAGATGTAGCAGTATAAAATACACAGCCACTTTTGAAGATTTAGTTAAAAATATATATATATATCTCACAAATCATTCTTTACATTGATTACATACAGAAGTAATAATATCATGGATTGTGCCATGTAGTTGATTCCAACTCACAGTGATTCTATAAGACAGAGTAGAACTGCCCCATAGGCTTTCCAAAGCTGCACTCTTTACAGCAGTAGACTGCCTCATCTTTTTCCCACAGAGCAGCTGGTAGGTTCTAACTGCTGAACTTCTGGCTAGCAGCTGAGCTCTTAACCACTATGGCACCATATTGCTTCAATAGTGTGGGTATATTAGGTTAAATAAAATATATTATACAAATAAATTTCACCTGTTTCTCTTTCCTTTTTTAATGTGGCTATGAGCAAATTTTAAATTATACATGTGGCTTGAATTTGTGGCTCACATTTTTTTTTTTCTTTTGAGCAGTGCCAAACTAGAGAATAAGGCTAAAAAAATGAATCTAATTAAAATATAGTTATTAAATAATGATCTAAAGAGGCAGGTGGAGAAGAAACAAGAAAAGATACACTTCAAAAAGCAAAAGAAAGAGAAGTGTCATATAGAAACATGATAAATAAAAAAGAAATATGAAAATAATCAATAATATAGATAGTAAAATGAACTTTCAACTACTGTTTACTAACTAGCCATTATTCAGTTCAGAATTGAATTTCTTTCCAATTACATCATTTACAACCTAATTCTTTTACTAAAAATTCTCAAAATCCTTCTGATTTTCAAATAACTGTTTTCTTAATGAGCAATAAATGGGCCACTTCAATGAACTATCCAAAAATATCTTTAGTAAGTCTTCCAGAAGTTCCTCAAATAAAATTCCTTCCTAACAACGACATATAAAAGAACACTGGTGGCAACCTCATCTGAATATTAATTCACAGAGGCCATTCTGACAAATCTCTACTTCACAAAATATTAATCAGACAAGAAGAGCCAGCATGTTTCCCTCACTTTTCTAAACATGCCACGCATTTTGGAGACACTCTAACTGCTTTTCCTAATCTTAACCTTTTGTACCTGCACCCTTGAAATAGAAAGTCAAAGACTACATAGAAAGTAGTTTACAACTTAGTGTTGTCATGAAAAAGCCATACTTTACCACAGCCTCTTAAAAAAAAAAAAAAAAAACACCCACCCTGGGCCTACCACAACTGTCACATGCTGGATTCTTTCTTTTTTCCTTTAATTCCATTGGGGACCTTTCTTTTGGAGCAAGAAAAGCCTACTTAAAATGAAAATTCTAAACATCTCTTAAAACCACCCAATTAATCCTGAAGTCAGCACCTCCTAATTAAGAATAAGAGATAACGTTTCATTTCTAAGTGATCCTTCTCCTAACATCCTTATTCGTAGTAAACTATGATGCTGTGTAAATAGTTCATAGCTCTGAGCTATGTAAAATCCTATTAAACAATACTTACCTAATTCACAAGTGTATTGTGTCCCCTTTGGGAAATATAAAACAATGCAGTATCCTGTGTGGCAATTCTTAAACCCAGTAAGCTTAAACATTTTAAGAACTGCACCAGAAATAAACTATCCCTTCCTTCTCCTTCAAGCCTGTCAAATTTTTTAAGATGTATTTTATGGCATTACCCTATTTACATTGCAAAATAATGAATATGGTTTGTCCGCTCTCCAACGATAATTGAGAGAACACAAAAACCCCCATTGAGTTACTATATGGATATGGCTTGTTTAGTGAGGTGGTCTGTGTAGACACAGAAATTAAAGCGTCAAGTGCACACATTAAAAAGATTGAAATAAGGTTGGAAATCTAACAAAAGTCTTTCATTTCCTAGAGGGCGGGGCCAAACGGATGTGTTTGGCAGTGCTGAAGGAGGAAAGACCCATATTCAAGCCTTAACTGCCTCCCGGCTCCTGTCTGAACAGCCTAGCTAACCGGAAAAAAAAAGGTGGGAGGGAGGGAGGGAGGGGAGAGAGCTCGACTGACTCCCGCTAGCTTTCTATTCGCTTGGGAACATTGACTTCGAGACCCAACCTGTCTTTGCGCGGGTGGGCCTGGGCCACGCGCCTCGCAGCCAAACCAAACAGGGACAGCAGCAACCCTGGACCACGCGGGTATCCCCAGAACCCTGACCTCTGCTGGCTACCCATCCCCTAGGCTCATTTGCCTGCACTGTCCGCCAAGGCGACTGAGTTACCCCACAAAACACACAGACGCGCAGAGCCAACGCTGTTGAAGTCTTTTATTTCGTTATGTCACCGAAGTCGCAGCCCCGAAACAGATGGTCACCAGCCACGCGAGCGGGTGCGCCAGCGCTCCAGACTCCTGGAGGTGTCCTGTTTGTAGAGCTACAAGCAGCTATCGCTCCCTCCCGGGCGACTGGTCCTCTCCGAAGGCGGCGGTGCAGAGAGCAGTGTGGACAGCACACCGCAGAAAGGAGTGCAAGGAAACCACACAGCACTGTACGTAATGAATTAAGCAAGAACACGAGAGAGCTGGACCTGAGAGGTGGGAAATGGACAAACCTCAGGAGTAGGGGGGTTTCTCTGGAGGAGAGAAACCACCTGAGAAAACACACAGTGCAGGGGAAACAGAGCAAGCAATGGTGGCAAGAAAGATTTGGGGTTGGTTTGTTCCTTTCTCGAATTCTGCATTGTCACTGGGGAAGGGAGAAGGAAGAGCCTTTTACCTTCTGCCTCAATGGAAGACAGGAGCAGGACCGCGCCCAGGGCGGCGAGTGCTGGGAGAAACCCGGTCCGCATGCTCGGCCTCCGGGCTCACAGCCACATGAAGGGATCTGCGGGAGGAAGCAGGGACCGCGTCAGAACCCGGCGGGAGCAGGCCTGCGCCTGAGACCAGGTTAAAACTGGAGCCTGGAACTGGTCCAGGACCCTGACAGATCTGCTTTAATAACCATTGGGCCCAGCCCATCACATAATGGGTCTATTGTGGAGCAGTGGAAGTAAAGTTCATCAACAGAAGTTTGGTCATGGCACTAAAAGAGGGTTCAAGTTTAAAGAGGGTCTTGTTTTCCTGGAAGCTGCTCCTGCTTAGTATCCTTGGTAAAGGCCTCACCAGGCCCCACATGACTTCATCCTGCCTGGGTGATGGCTAATTCAGAGGTTATTTTATCCCTGACTCTACTAAATGTCTCTTCCAGCTGGGGATTTTATTTGGCTGCTCTTTCCTAGCTGCTGAACTCTTTAGGTAACTGTACTTTAGTGGTCTCAGGGTAGTTTGGAAAAGTATAATAAACTTTTTTTATTCTCCTTTTTCTTCATTTTGTTCTGCCTACAAATGTGCAACTCTTTAAGGTCTGAAATAGATTATACTGAAACATGTAAGGCCTAGATGAAACCTGATCCTCCTGCTAGCTGTGTTGTTTTCACATCTGATAAATCCTTTACCCAAGCTGAGGGGAAAACAACTCTAAAACACTTTATAAAAAGATACAAGGTACTAAGGGTGGAGAAACACCCTTGTCTGATATCCTACAATTTATCTTAATAACAATTTTCAGCAATTAACTTCAGCATTTAATTGTTCATTTAGCTAGGAAGATCACAGGTATATATGCACCAGAAGGGAATATACTCTGCTCTGATTTTTCCAAACTCTATTATGAATTCCTTGAAGATAAAGACAGAGCCTTATTCATCTTTTGTGGTCCCTAATACACACCAAAAATAACCAAACTTGTTGCCCTGGAGTCAATTTCAACTCATAGTGACCCTGAATGTTACAGAGTAGAACTTCTCCATAAAGATTTTCTTGGCTATAATCTTTAGGGAAGCAGATCACCAGACCTTTCTTCCACAGTGCTGCTTGGTGTGTTCAAACAACCAACCATTAGGTTAGTGGTAGAGTGCAAACCATTTGCACTACCCAGGGACCTAGTTGCCAGCACACAGTAGGTGCTTAATGAAATCTTCTAAAATCTTCAAAGCTGCAATACAGAGACACAAGCTACTAGTAATACACTGAACTGGGAAGCTGCCAGAAGCAAAACATAAAAAGACAGTTGACTCTGAGGTACATAAATTATTATACGGCAACAGGCTAGACATTATGAAAAAATAGAGGGTTGTGGGGGTGACTGTCCTCCTTGGAAATCCAAAAATGAGCCAAAGGTCAAGCCCTCTTTGAGAAAAGAAAGTGACAAGATCCAACCATGCTTGCCAAATTATTGGCACGGGAGCATTAGGGCAGTTTTCCCCTGGCCTGAGTGTAAATTACATTTTAAATGTCTGATGAGCAGGAGTGCCAAATCGCCCGGGGCTCCTTTTTATGATGCCAAGATTAAAATTTTGGCTTTGCTCTGGGGATCCAAGGGCTCTAGTAATTTCTTTCTCCCTAATTAACAACTGTTTGACATTTCTAACCCTCTTTTACATTAGTGAAAAGTAAGAGGTGAGACTGCCCTATTGTTCCCGTCATCTGGCCTTAAGTTTACTATAATAATTTCCAATTCAGTTGGCAGTCATTCTGGGGAAAAGTAAAGGCTGATAACAGACCCACCGAAAAGCTGTGTGCATTAAAATAATAAAAATAAATCCCGAGTGCTGGGAGAGCATTTGTCTAGGTCTAGCGCGCCACCTATCGGCTGCCTGGCCCAGTGGCAAAAATGAATCATCAGGCGCCGGGGTTTCTGAACGCAGTCAATTAAGCCAGCAAGCCAAGCATTCCGTCCATATATGTTTAAATAAAAATTTTTTTCTTTCCTTTCTAGCCAAAACATTTACTTGAATGCTTAGCAACACTTCATTGAGCATTCTCGGGCATAAATGTCTCAAAGCGGCTGCCCCTACGTGGCAGAAAGGATTCCCTCGCTTCACCCACATGAATGAAATTAAGTCATTTGGGGAAGGGGGGGCACTTGTTCCCTTCAGGCAACTCGACCCCTCCCCCACCTACACCCCCCAAAAAGAGGTTAATTCCTCAAGCCTTGCGTCAAGTTAAAAAAAAAAAAAAAAATGATCTCTCCCCCTACACACCAGGGCCCTCCAGACCTTACTTGTGTAGCCTACCCCTCTCCTTTCCTACCCACACCAACCTTGACCTTAGCCAAGGGCGAGTTTAGCAGTCATTGCCTTTCTTGCTCTTTCCCCAGAACTTCATAGAAGGTCGCCGAGCTGGAGCGGTTCCCCGAAACTCCAGACTCGTCAGTCACCGGATGATCCCTGAGGGTGCTGGGTTTGGAGCACCCCTTCTCTCCAGTTTCTGTAAATGAACTGGTGGCCCCGAGCTCTCTATTCCCTATAGTGTGTATGCCTTCCAGTCGAATCCAATTCAGAGAGTAAAACTGCCCCATAGGGTTTCCGAGGCTGTAAACTTTAGGGGAGCGAAGCCACTGGTGGGTTTGAACTGCTGACCTTTTGGTTAGCATTTGGGCGCTTAACTATTATACCACCTGGGCTCCTTATACTCTGTAGGATTAAAGGTGAAAACCACTTCACAGGTTCTACGGACTCCAAGTAGGGCCTCGACCACGTCACCCTGGAAGGTACCAGGGGAGGGGGCCCTTTCCCAGGAGATAGGGAAAGACGACTTTTGGCCCAGATAGAGTCCCTACAGCTGGCCTAACCCACCATGTCGGATGCTTTGAAATGCAGGGGAGGAAGTAGCAGAACACTCCACCAGGAATCTGTCTCGAGATGCCACACACACCCGCGCAGCCTCCATGAACTCCAGAACACTCAATCGGCCCTCCGAAGAATTCCGCACCGTGCGTCACTAAAATACCTACCCGATGCCCCCGCTGCACCCCGGCACACCCCGGCCAGCTACCGCCACGAGATAATGAAGGACGGGTGGCCACAAAACCAGACGCACCCTTTCCATCGAAATAGACAGCATCTATAGATGAAATGCTTCTACAGATGGAAACACTGAGCAAGGTACTTTACACACTCACAGTTGCCGTGCATCAGCTTTTAGGAAAAGCCAAATGAATCACAAAACCCAATGTACCAGGATAAACCTCAAGCATATCTCCACTCTTACAAGTTCAAACGTTCCCTGCTCCTTAAAGTCTGCCTCAATGGCTCAAGGAGAGAAACAAGAAGCCGCCTAGAAACAAGTTCCCCTAGTTATCTTTGGGGAGGATGGGGTGTGGGAAAGGGGTTCGAACCCCTACCGACCTTAGGCGGTGATGACAGAGGTAGCAGCGGTGGCGGCGGCTTCCCCGTGTCGGAGAAGCGGGCGTTTAGTGTGACACCCTGCGCGCCCGGGAGATTGGCTCTGGACTCCTGGGGCACCTGGTGGCCGCCGGGCGGTGGGCAGCGGCAGGGCAGCCGAGGAGGAAGAGACCGAGAACCACGCGAGGAATGGCGGGCGCGGCGGGACCGGCGAAGACCGCCCGGGACAACAGCCGCCCGCGCACAGACGAGTCCGCGGCAGCTTGCCTTCGCTGAGTGGGACGAGGCTCCGCGCCGCGGGCTACTTAATAGAGGGCTGTTCCCAACTCTCAGTTTACTCAGTTACGAAACGCCTGAGAAGGTGGACCGCTGCCACGGGGTGATGTATGCTCCTCCGGCGGTGAAGGAGGTCTACTTCTGGGAACGTGTGCATACTTCGAACATTCCTTCGGCGTGAGGTGGCGATCGCCATAGTAGCACTGCCCCGCCGGGAGGGGCGAGGGAGAGGGGTGGGCGGGGAAGCGGGGACAGCCGCAGCTGGGTTCACTGCCAAGGGAAGCCTTGCACTCCTCCGCTTGGGGCGGACTCGGGAGCTTGGGTTTCCCTGCCTAGGAGATTTTCTTTAATGAATTTATTTTCTAAATTAAGAACAATGGACGTGTGGGGTTTTTTTTTTGGGGGGGTGACTCATTTTCGGGGGTTGGTGACTCTCATTTTCAGAACTTCAAGAATGTGTGTCCCACTCAACCTCAAACATCCTAGTCCTAACCTCCATCAACACTACCTCCATCTCCCCCCTCGCTTTTGTCCTGGGTGCACTTAAAACCGATTTACAGGGTTTCCATTAACTAACTGTCTGTGCACGCGGCCCGCCTTCTGTCTTTTTCAATCTGCGAGCGGCTCTTGGAAACCCGGACAGCCGCCCGCGCAGGACTCCGCGCCGGGATGGCTTTCACAGTCCTGTCTCGCTCCCCTGGTGCTTCAGAGCGGAACTGGGAAGTTTTGAGCCAGGAGGGAGGGTTTAAAAAGCTATGTGAAACCCAGACGTCCTAAGAACAGGTAGACACTCAAGAACAACCTCTATCCCAGGCAGCAATTTCTAAGCCGAGCCGCAGCAAAACCCTGCGGAGGGAGAAGCTTGCGACAAAAATACCTCCGCCCTTAAAACCCCTCAAGGTCAAGGGACTAAAGGGAATAGATATGAAAACCGAAGACCACCCAACCCCCGTGACTCCGGAGGGCGGAGGCCAACCAGGAACTTCCGTTCTACCAGCGCCTTCTGCTTATTTTATTTTATTTACCTCTCCTCCCGCCGTTTGACCAACAGCAGGGAACCTGGTTCTCTGGGATGCCAAATTCTGCTGGGAGCAAGAGCGATGCCCTGTTGTGTCCCTCACAGCAGGGAGGGCATCAGAAAGCTCTCCAGGAGAGGTTCTGATTATACACATCTGTACACTCGGCACAGGCCCAGTTCCTTTTGCCCTATTTAAGCTCAGAGGTTATCCCTGCGAGATTGAGAT